TAATACCAAGGATAGATTGATCGAAAGGGAGATCGATATTCCATCCATATCCCTTTATTGATCTTCTTCCATTCACTTCTATTCATGTCAAAAATATATAACATGATAACTGTTGCATATATCACTTTTAGCGCTTTTTAGTTTTTAGCTTAATTTGTTACCATAACCCTCTTAAGTCAATTGAAATTCTAGGTATTCGTTGACTACAAATTATAATATGTCTACAGTAATAATTATAATGACAATGCAAACAATAACAGCAATAGTAATCACTAATAATATTATTATTATTATTACTATTATCTTTATTATTATTATTATTCTTACTACTACCATTATTATAACAATGACTATTGTTATGATTGTACGCCTTGCTCTGTCTTCTTAATAAATTAACATTCATTACAAATTTCAAATCATATTATGTAATGCCAAGATGTGCTGGAATGAATCTGTCTCGATTTGTCATTTAATCGAGCGCCTGAAAATTTATTGTTTGAAAAGAAACGAGAACGTTTGTAAAGCCTTTGATAAGAGATGAAATTGAATGGAAATGTCAGTATCTTCTCCTATTCCAATGTTTACTACTACTAATACCACTATAGATGAAACTTATTGATGATACATACACAAAAATGTTCCCATATCATTTCCATACTACTCATAAGGTATATCTTATTACTGATTAGTATATCATGCAACAAATACAAATGATAATTATTCTAAAGCATAATCAGTCTCTCTTGAGTTGTCAATTCAAACCCTCAATGAATTCAAATACAAATACTTAAGCCACATACTGTATGAACGATTCTTTTTTCTGCGAAATAAATTCAAATTTTCAAATCATTTAAGAAAAAGATGCAGAGTATTGGAACGGTTGATCCATCGATTTATTCTTACTTTTATAGACTTCTTTGATAGTTTTATCAGCATTGAATTTGAGTAATAACATTTAATCAGTTCGTTTGATTATCTTTCCCTGTCACAGACTTGAATTTGAGAAGTATGATAAAAAGAGAAATTTTAAAAACCATTCAATACTTTCGTCTTAGCAAAGTAAGAATGACACAAACTTATTATTACTGCTGGATTTGTCATATTTGAAGTGACAACAAATTGTACTTCAGAAATCCACACTGATAAAAATTTTACGTTTTTTTAGTTCATAATTTCTTCTCAATGATTTGCAAGATTATGAAGGAATAAAAAAATATAATGCAGAGATGAAGTCGAGAAAAGAAGAAAAGAAGAAATACTGTATCTACCAAACAGTTCAAACACACTGCAAAAAAAAAACGATTATGCTCCAATTACGAATGTATAATTCATAATACTTTCTTTCGGTACAGTGGGAAGGAAACGTTTTAGTAATATTTAATTGACTTTTTAATTGTAAAATTTAATTGCAACAATGTAAAAGTAAGCAAAATAACATTAAAATTACATTTGAAACATTGCTTACAATTACATACATTAATTGTTTCCGGGATTCAAAACAGTGAAGAAATAATACTTGATACTGAACACCTTGTATAACAATTAGTCGATGGTCCTACTGTAGCAGTGGTAAGCGCATTTGCCTCAATATCGATGAAACAAACAAATGAATGTGCGCAAATTACATATAATAATAAATCTTGTGCAGAGATGCACGCAGTGTCATCACGAAGACTTTCATCGAAATGCAAAATGCTTCGAAGGCACTTCAAATGACTGATAAGAGGGCTTTTTCTTTCATGTTTAAATTTCTTGATTGTATTTTCGAAGAAGTTTGGCACTGTTCGGTTCTGCATAAACAGGTCAAGCATAATTTTCAATCAAATCAATGGAACAAGTGCGTTAAAGAATTTAAAGATACCAACAAATCTTAAATTTATAGGTTATCCTGTTACCTTCCATTAGGTTCGATATGTTTATTCTTCTCAAAACATTAGAGACTGCATCTCCAGGCAGGATGATCGTAAAACCGAAAAACTGATAGGTCAGTAGGTAAACATCCAAACTGTTAAAGGTACTGAAAGTAGGGCAAAAATCCAAGAAATTACCCCAAAAATAAACGAAGACATGCAAATCATTTAGCCCAATAGTCAGCTCAATAGATAATACTCAGTTATGATGGACAACAATGTACTTCCCTAATTATGCACTCACCTCTTGACCCTTGACCTTTTCTCATAATAGCATGAAGGCTTCCGTACAAAATGTAGCAGCAGCAATAATAACTCACCATTATACTAAAGGAATAGCAGAATACCTTTTGCAATCCAAGATGAAATTTTAAGATTTGAATAAAGGTTCGAAATTGTCACAACATTTGAAAATATGTAAAATTTTCGGGAATGAATTTTGTCACTGAGAAAAAGAACTCATCACTCATCCTCGGTCCGATTAATATGCAAATTTGTTAAAGTAAGAGTAGAGTCCTTGATTAAACTAGGAATGGAGTCCTTGGTTCAATCAATATGCAAATTCTGTTAAAGTTTGCAAGAAGCTTTTTGTCTTCTCAATTATGTTTAATTGTAAGTCACCAGTGCTTCCACATCTCCACTTTTGCAAAACTGTCCTCTCCTAATTTTTGTGATTTAATATAACTAACATATACTATCAGGAACCGGAAATATCACCTCGCCACAATCAAAAATGTTTGAAATTTCTCCCTTCCCAATAGTGTTATCATCTTTTGCATTATTTCAGCGTTATGAAATATATGTGCCATGGAATAATTCGGGAATTACGTGAATAATTTACGTTAAAGGATGATCTAAATGGGTGTACTGAAACATTGACTTGTCCCAGCCGATGGTTATGTGTAGGGTTGGTTGGTTGTTCGGGGAATATTTATTTAAGAAGGCAATTAGGCGTAATATCACGTGTTGTATTATCTCATTCCGTGTCCATCCCACATCTTTTGCTAGTAATATCTCATTTTCGCTGATGATTTAACACAGCAACATTTACCCAAACTGTAAATAATACTTTAATATCGATAGATTTGCCCGAACCTTAGGTAATACGGAGGATGAACTTTCTTTGAGGATGGATTTTTTCCCAATGGTGACCACAAGGAACACGGATACGTTGCATTAGGGCCATAAACGAAAGATTTTGGGCAATGAGATGTTAACAACTCCTAGCCATAATCAATGCGCTTTTAGATGTGACTGGGAATTAGAAAAATCGAAATTCAGAATTCGACTGATACTTAACAAGATGGGACAGAAAGTTCCCGGGAAGGACAGTTGACATTTCTGATGTAATCTTCCATAAGAATTCATAATATATTTATTTATTACACGCATTTCTTTTTTAAAAGCAAATTGAAATTTTGCGAAAAGCGCACGACGCGAATTGTGTAAATTGAACGTGAACTATAGCCGAAGGTCAAAGATCGGGCTTGAACTTTCTATCTCTCCAGGGGTCATTTTGGGTAGCAAATTTCATAAATCTACTGGCAAAATTATGCTGCAAATACTTACGTAGTAAATCGATTACAAATCAATACTGCAGCAAAAATTTACGGTCAGTCAAACTCTTGAAATCCCGCCATTGATCTCAAGAGAAATTACCCGCGATTTCTCAAAAACTAGAGACAAAAATTTGTACACATCTCGGGCACTATTTCGCATCCGTCCAATTCGACAAGAACAAAAATTGTCCACAGGACGCGCGCGGAGTAGTGATGAGTGCGTGCTGCGTCGCGTACGCTCTCATTACCATTATAAAAGGAGCGCTGAGGGCGGCACTTGCAATCAGTGTTGGAGCTGCAGTCAGCGGCGACGTTCTTTGGCGCATACGTGCATACACATACGTACAGGCACACACTTGCAGCGCAGACGTGCGAGCACGTGCATGCAGACGTGCGTGCACGGGTAGGCAGAGACAGACAGGTGCACGCGTACAGACACACAGGCACGTGAACTCAGGCACACGCTTGTGAAAGGGCAGCAGCAGCATCGGGTTCGGTGGTAGGAGGGAGGTGGTCCGTTGGAGTGGGTTAGTGCAAACCTGTTACCTTTGACCTTCGTTGGCAAGGCTTTACACGGCTGTCTCTAATTTGACATTAAATCCACGGAACCTAGGTGTGTGACCTATCATTCGAAAGCCCGTTTTGTGCTGGGGACATTGGTGCGGGTTATTTTAAGTGACAACGATCACGATGACTGCAACTGTCGTAGACCAACCCGATAAGCAAGAACATCAACAGCAAGATCAAGAGCATACTTCGAAGCAGCATTTACCACAACAATTGCAACCAGAACATGATAATGTTGTTGCATCGATGGAAGGTACCGATGACGAAGTTGCTGTTGCAGTTTCGCGTGACATTCCCATCGATGCAAGCCATCAAGCCACTGCAGAACAAGGTCCAACGGAACAGCAACATCATTCCGAAAGAATTCCGGATCCCGGGATTCTTTCGGCGAGTGCTTCAGCTCCACATGCAAAGACAAAAAAACCGCGAAGAAGGTTTGCAGTTTTGTTTTTTTTCGTTCTGGAAGCGTTTTCGGATTTTGTGTTTCTCAAAGTGATACCAGCCTATTAGGAAAACCTGCCCTATTTTTGCTTCATTTGTGAAAGAGTTCGTCTTCTATATTTCTGCCCGTTTTTACCACTGATTTTATGGAAATTACCGAGTTTTTTCTTTTTTTTTTTTTTTTTTTTTTTGGGTAAAATCTAGTAACAACGGAAAGAAAACCAGATGATAGTTTGGACAGGGAATAGTTGAATATATATATATATGAATGTACTTGTTCAAACTTGAAGTCTGCAAAAATTTGATTAAAAATTCAGCTGCTGACAACTGTCGATTAGCTGTTATTAGTTTCGTTATTAATTTAAAGGTTTGGGAATGTCATGGTTTAAAACGTTTTTACGGATTATTTCACTTTTGATTACTTCCCAAGATATGAGAATACTTTTATAAGGAACAGTTTCCTAAGGCTACTCTAAAGGTGGGGTTACTTTATCTCAATAATTTTTGATTCCTTGTTTTTTAAGGCGTGTGAAAGATGCGTCGTACATTTGCCTCTTGCGATCTCGTATTAACAAGTCAACAATAAAATAAATAAGATAAAGTTATAGGAGGGGTGGAAAAGGACGCTGGAAACCATATCGCACATTATCGCTGAAGGAAAAAATTGTCCAAGAAGAGAAAGAAGAACGAAATGCAGTGGAGAAGCGGGAAAGGTTAGTTCCAATGAAAATTTTCATGTTATTGACAGAAAACAAATGGAGAATGGGGATGGAATTCCGGGAAACAACCATAAGTTATTCCATTTGGGTTAGGAATTACGGAGAACTTTCATAAGTTTTTTTTAAAGTATTTGTCCCTGCAATTCTGCTTTTGCCATCATGGACCGGTGTTTAATTACTGTCAAGTTGAACTATTAATAATAACTCATGGCTTTAGCTGTAATTCCATTCTGTAGGCTTTTCGGAACCTCTCATTTGAAATATCTGACGAAAAGTTAATCTGGATATAACCATATCGCCGTTTTGAATGCATATGTATGTGTATAATTTTTGATGAAGGTCGAGACATAATACTTTGCGAATTTTCCAGACAATTCTTAGTATTTCTTCGGAAATGTTTTTCTTTTTTGTTCACTAAATTTAACAGAAAATTTGGATGCATTTATGCGCAAATTCAGTTCATCCAGTTGAATTAGACAATCTTAAATAATGTCAAATTTGCGCTCATGGAAATGATGCATACATTATATTGTGGAATTGATATTCATATTCACTGAATATGTTTAAGTTTTATTCCTTTATAATCTCTATTGGTTGATGATTAAGATACGAGAGAGTATGGAGTAAGAATTGCACTATGAATGTTTTGATAGATTGTTGTGGAGCAGTAGGAAAGTTAACAGAGCATAACTCAAAATATAGTGGAAAAAGAGAAATTTGTCTTGTTACTTCGAGTAGATTGTTTCTTTGTTCATTCGGATCATATCTACTACGACATAACCGGATATAAAATAAAATATGTTACTATCGAAAAAATGTTTCTAAAATTTTGTGTAAATACAAGTACTTCCTGGAACAGATAAGGAGCTGCCTAATTCTACTCTTCAAAAACGACATGGTGTAGTATAGGAGTTGAAAAGGTTGGGTCCAAGTCATATTGAACTGAGTGGGATTAGTTTTAAAATACCAATTTTTATTTAAGATTGTTTTCACGCGGTAAGCCTATGGCACCGTACAATACGACGCAGTTCCTGCTGGAAGATCATGAGAAGCGTACGATGCCTCCAGATGTCGGCGATTCGTTACCTGGGATGACCGCACATCAACGGCAATCCACAGCAGGATTTTCACCAACTCACGAAAGGTTTATATTATTTTCATTGCTATTATTAATCGCGAATAAATTTTTCAGTTTATAAATCTTTTTATATTGTTCTTTATTTGTTGTGGTATTACCGGACTTGTATTGTTGGTTTTAATTCTTGCTGATGTCTGCGATTATGTTACCAGAAAAATCAGTAAAGTCCGATCCTGGCATCCTTTTGCGCCTTTACACTGGTCGTTAGTGGTAATGCAATTCTGGAAGAGCCCCATTGAAAGATATTCGCGTTGTTCATTATTATGATATTTGATTTAGCTCGCATTTTTTTTCACTTGATTATAGGAGGAGGTTATAATAGCAGTAATTATTTATCTTTTATAATTTCAAGCGAAACAATAATTGCGTTTTTTGAAAAGAAAAATAGTTTGGCGTGACGTCACGCACGAATTAGTAGCGTCACGTGTAAACAATTACGATAACGTAATTGAAATATGTTAATAAAATTTTGTTTGAAAAAATTAAACCAGTTCCAAATTTTTCTAGACGTTGTTTGCAATTATGCTAAAAAAATGTGATGAGTGTGTTGCGACAACAACGTACATTCACATACATACGCGCATGTGCTACGCTCCATTTTCGATCGACTCTGAAAATCTCCAAAGGCGAGCAGATTTTCATATAGTCGATTTGGCGAGTCATTGAGTTACCCGAGCATTGCATGCTTGGCTTTGAAAATTGCGAAATCTAGAAATCGCAGGAAATGATGATAACGAAGCTGACTAAACGGTCTGTCAGTTCAGAGCGGATAAAGTTCGGAGCGGGGGATTTACTTACTCTACTGTGCCTGGGATGAGACATTTTCAGAACGACACGTCTTTGTGTGGTGTTGGTTTTTCTCATCATCAAGGACTGGTTATAAGTAGAGAAGTTGGGATTGTGCGTGAAATCAACGGACCTTAGTGTTGTGAGTGGCCAAAAGGGTCACCCGTCCTTTTGGGAAGAGTAGGGTGAAATATGGTCTCCCCTTCAGTCCGCTCCGTTTTAATTGATGATAAGAACTGATTAATAAGTTTGAGCTAATATTGTCCTCGTGTACAATAGAAGTTAATTTATATCAAAATATTCGCAGGTTTTTTATATGCTCTAGGGAACGTTCGGACGTAAAGGCGACTCTTTGTTAGATGGGGAAGATGAAGCTGCCACATGCATATTTTGTCTCCCTTTTTTAATTCGCCAGTAAAATCTTATAGATGTGGTACTATTGGTCAGTCAGGATCTGAAATGGGTGGTAATACAACAGATAGTGCAAGTTATTCAGGTGGAGAAGATGATGAGATGGAGCGACAATTTGATGCTGATTATGATTATGTCAATATGGAGCGTATCAGTAACATGACAAAAGATGAGGTATTCTTTTTGTTTTTCCTTGATGGTGTATTATTCAACGAATGGAGGAAGGATGCAGTTCAGAAAACTGAATTTCGTTTTATTTTTATGTGTTGGTGTTCATTTCAGGATATTAAAATGGTATTTTGTTTGGCCCTTTCTCGGACTTTTGGAAAAGCTGGAATTATTCAATAGAGAAAAGCTACTACAGGATAAAGAATGCAATAATATTTTTATTAAAATTTTGATAGTAATGGTATTGGGAACTGCGCGTGAGGAATTCAAATTTCGAAGGGAACAGTAACATTTGAGTGCATAGTTGTACTTGGTTAAGCAGCTGTGCTAGTTTCAGGTTGCACGGGAATATATGCATTTGGAAAAGATTAATGGTAAACTGGCGGATCGCGTGAGTTTGCTGCAGTTAGAAAATGATAAGTTAAAACAGCTGCTGAAAGACCATAACATTTCTTACGAAGATGTATTACCTAAAATACGACGGCATAGTGGTACATCAGTTTCGGAAGCAGGTGATGCTGTGCGCAAAAGCCAGGACGAAACCATGGTTGATAACAAGCAAGAAGTGGTATGCTAAGCCGGTTTTACTTATCTACAAACTAATTTCGGTTGTAATTTATAATCGTGGTCAGTGTTGTATTTTTATTTTTCCATAATTTGATGGATGGCTCTTCGCATTTGACGACTCATTTTCTTTTATGGGTAAAGAGAAGGTTTTCAGAAATTGTCGAATTTCATTTTTTTTTTTCTTTCACTTCTTTACAGCTCCATTGGCTATAATCTCTGGTGATGATTTTTGCTGGGTTGTTTTATACGCTGTATATTTGTGTGTTTATATTCCCTAATATGTATATTACTAATTTCTACGGGATAATGCTCCATTAAGCTAGTTCATTCAATACTCTTTTTATTAATTGTTCGGGAATGTGCAGAAAAAAATTAAATTGTGATAAAATTAAATTCCAAACTTCCGGAAGGAAAGTTTTAAACGTTTCGAAAAGAAGGAAAAAATTCAAACGAAGTTCAAAAATATCTCTTCTGAAATTGAACTATGAGAGGCTCAAATACGAAAGGCTTTTCGAGGCATTATAAATATACTTGGCACAGGAGAGCTGGAACTAAATTTGATTTTAGGGTGATTTTGAAATTTTTTTTTTTGCGATATCTAAATTATGCACGCCTGTTTTTCGTGTGGTTATGTTTATGTTAACGTTGCCTTTCCCTTGTGTTTGCTAATTTCACTGGTTCCTCCTCTTCACAGAAAGATGAATAATCCGGGTGCATCAAGAAGTTTCATGTACAAATTAATTGTTTCATTATCAGTGTATTGTCGGTGTTACATTGATCGTGTTTGAGACCTCAGAAAATTTCGATTCAGCATCAGCTAGAAAGATCAGAATTCTGCAGCTGATCTTCGCAAGAAATATTTTTCAAATTGTGTAGGGAAAGCAAGGTTCATAAATTTTGAACTAAGCAATTTGTATCGTGCGTCACAGATTTGCTGATGATTGCCATTATAAACAGTAGTGGGGAATCGGCACATCTCTGTTTATCTAATTAAACGTTCCATTTGGGAGTTAATTTTTGATTTTTTCATACATGGAAAGAAGAAATAGTCAATAGTTTTTTGAAAGTTATTCGAGCACTGGTTTCTCATTTTCCAGAACATTCGAAAATGTCATAAAATTTCTTTTGTAATTATGGATTTTCTTATCTTGTCCTTCCAGCATTTTTATTTGCGAAGTCACATTTTTTGCTGCAATCAGTACTCAGTGGATCTCCATCATCGGCTGATTCTTGAACATTTTTTTTATTACTCTTTTCCGTTTTTTAAATTATTATGATGAATTTAGTTCAGCTTCAGAAATGTTTAGAACGATTTGGGAGATGAGGAGAACATATCGGCAGTCTTATCACTTAGAATTTGGTTGGTACTGCAGATGCTTCAGGCAGACATTGTACTTTTATTTCGAATAAGAGGATGTGATGTAACTGGGATGCTTGCATCGCTTAGAGAAGGACATAAGTAGAAAGAATAGTTTGCAGCAGGAATTACTGACACTAAGGTTGCAATTGAAAATACTCATTTCCTTTTTTATTGACTAGTTGGAAATCCCCATATCACCTATCTAGCTATGGCTTGGGGAATCAGTCTTATCTAATATTTATACTGCTTCAAAGTTATACCTCAGAACATATTTTAAGAAGTTATGTCTGGAGTTGAAATTAGTCACAACTGAAGGTAGTGTTATGAAGGATTGTATTTCATCTGTCTGTAGGTCTTTGTTTTTGCTTTTTTTTAATATTCCTTAATGTCAGTCATTGAAAGAGATCATTCAACCAATTATCCTGTGAAGAGATCGATTTATATTCCATTAAAATTCACCTATCTATTTATCTATCTATTTATACATAGATGATGATTTTCTTTTTTGAAATAAAATGTTATTCAAAGAGCTACTTTTGTCCCAGTTTACTGTCAAGCCTTGTGAAGTTCTTCCAGGTATGGGATTCAAAATGCGCATTTTTAAGCTGGATAAGTGGGATTAAAAATATTTTTGACTGCTAAATATTACCGTGAATTAGAACTACTACACATGGAATGAGAGGGGAGATTGGAGTGGCTTCGTTACTGCAGGTGTTGTGGGAGGGGGAGGGGGGGGTAGAAAAAAAACAATGAAATCATGAGAGGCACTCATTGCTAAAACGTTTTTGTCGAAGCATATTGGAACAGTGCTTCTTAACATTTTCTTGACAAGGACAACTTTTGTTTGTGGCAAGGACTAGTAGGTTCGAGAGCAGTAAATTAATTTGAAAATAAACTTTAATCGAAACTTCTAGGGTACCGGTTTATCAAACATTGATAGGAATAACCCTTGCATGTCTACTACTCACCGCAATTGCTACCTTCGTAGATCATCATTTGAGAATCCACTAGTCTAGAAGATTTTCTATTGATCCATATTTAATAGCTGTTACTCAATGGTTTTAAGAAAGGCTAAAAGAATAGGAAGCTAATTTTCATTAACTTTCATTTTCTATTAACTTTCAAATGCATCGTTTGCTTCCTCTTCTGCTGGATATGTCAAACACAGGGCAAAATATAATTTTTAAGTGGAATGGTGTAATTTTGAGGAGTGAATTTCGGATCATTAATCTTGTACCGTATGCTTTCTCTTCTTTCGTTGCGCATCGTCATTGTTATCATTCAGTCATGAATAAATGATTCGTGTCCCCTCAATGTCACTGTCATCACCGTCTTTCTACTTCATACCACTGCTGATGTTAGTGGCGAATCTTTTTCTATCCTTACTTCCATATCTTATTTATGTTAGTGTTACTGTTGCCGATGGAACTAATATTTCTAAAATTTCCGCAGAAAAGATATCAGAAGAAAGATTTACTATTTTAAATGATGAGCCGAAAAAAAGTGAAGCATTGCTGGAGAAATGCCCATACATGGATCCATATCTGGAGTAAGTTCCAGTATATCCTCGAATTTTCAAAACTTTTTTATTTCCTTTAACTAAGCTATTTTTGCTTGATCTAATCCATCGCTTCATTTTCTCTTAGATCCTAGTTATTTTTTCTGAATTTTACACTTTAATCTCATTTGTTAGGTTACTTTTCTATAACATACAATTGAAAATTAAACATTCCGGCAGTTATCGCTTTCTCTCTTTCTACAGATAAATATCTTCGGAATAGTGATATCAGAGATATGTGATATAATCCAACAATTTCAGCATATTATCTTGGTCAGAAGTTGATTCCAATGTTAGCAACTGTGATCCAACTACTCCGAAAGAGATTGATATGATAGCAAGTGAAGCAGAGAGGAAACGATACGAATGGGGTATCAAGAAATTTGCTTATGATGTAGTAACAAGTGATAAAATTGGACCACATCGTAAATTGTCATCTATTTATCATGAAATGTAAGGAATCTACCATGAAGTTTTCAGGTTTTTTGTAATATTTCATGATCTTTCATAGGATTTCTCAAATTTTTCACATTCTGAAATGCCCGAATTTTGTTTTAGGAGATACTGTTGCAAGTATTGCAATCCAGAATCCTCTTTCACGATTAATCTAATTTCCGTCTTAATTGTTGACGGTTCATTGATTAAATCATTGCATGATATTGATTTCCGAGATTATCATTTTTTGCTATTATAGATTATGGTGTAATGTAGGTTCCATTGAGGAGCTCATGATATCTAAAGTTCCATTCCACTTACCAGTTCAGTTATATTAAAAGTTATTTGTTTTCTTTTTTTTTCAGGTGTAAGTCACTGCCTCGCAATATCAGTTTGAGCGTAAGCATAGTCATTATCTATCACAATGAAGCACTATCGGTATTAATTCGTATGCTGAATAGTATTTTCGACCATACTCCATCCAAGCTTCTTAAAGAGATTATTTTATACGATGATTGTAGTGATTATGATACACTGCTCATTAATCATGTTATCAGCTACGGCAATCATGTACAATGGCCAATGGAAAAGATAATCACGCGACGAAGCGGTGAACGATTAGGACTAATCAAGGCCAAGGTTGAGCATTTTTAATCAGATACTATCATCCGAAGGATTTTTACTGGGGAACTGCTGGAAATCTAGTTAATTTTAAGAGTATATTTGTTTGGAATTCAGGCACATTTGTGATTTAAGCAAACTCTGAATGAAGCTATATATAAAAGTCTTTTTTCTTCCTTGATAGTAATTGTTTGTTTTCCAGGTTTACGCATCACGTGTGGCTCGTGGTGATGTCCTCGTATTTTTGGACAGCCATTGTGAAGTAACTCCATTGTGGATCGAACCTTTATTGCTACCAATTCAGGAAGATTCCACAAGGTTAGAGAGTGAGATATGTGTTGTTATTACGTATTTGTTATTATTTTACATTCACTTATACACGGAAATTTGTGGATAAAGAGATTGGCCAGCAAAAATAGATTTGACTGGAATTTAAGTTTATTTTATTAACCGTTGTATTCTTTTATTACACTATTAGTTTATATTTATTAGATTTTGGGACAAATTCTTTTTTTGAATCAAAGCAGATCAATAGATCCGAAAGCCCATTCTTCTATCAAATAATGGGTGATGAGTGTTCAAGATTAGGTTTTGATGAATAAAATGAAAGAGCTGCGATAGTGAACGAACCAAGACTCACTTTTAAATTATGGCTTCTTCTTTTAATGTAGCAATTGTTGCAGACCAGCAAAATTATCGATGAGGAAAAGGGATTAGTGATCAGGAAAGGTGAAAAATTAGGACAAAGAGAAGGGTAGACATGTTCTATTCGTATTAATTTTTCATTAAATGAATTTAAAGTCGTGTAAGGTAAAATTGAAAAATTCAGAGTTGTTCTTCCAGTCGTTGATTTAATTAGTGCAAAAACGTTTGAATTCTCGAGAGCAATGATAACAAAGGGTGCATTTAACTGGTATCTCGAATTCACGTGGAAATATATTCCCTGGGAGTATTGGGATATACCTGAAAACAACGTTAAGCCATTTCAGTAAGTGTTTTGTGTTTCTTAGTTTTTCTTGATATCTACCATAGTAAAATCATTGGGAGGATTTCCAGCACGTAGTAATCCATACCCAGAAATATGGAATGGTTAGTATGCTGAATTGCATTTGCAAAATGATTTCTGTTCTCCAAATATTTAAATTATTAGTAGTTCCCCCAGACTGATTTGAAATAACAGCATTTGAATTATACTATACCTTCAACAAATTATGAAACGAGTGAATTCGATGGAATAGTTTCATGGCTAGACATGCTACGCTTTCTTCGATTGCTATTATTTCCTTTACTATTATTATTACTAGAACAATAATTTTACTACTACAATAACAACAACTACAAAAAAAACTAACTGTTTTATTTACTGCTATCATTATACTATCCCTTTCAGATTGATTGAGAAAAAAAAAAGGAAAAAAGGAAGAAAGAAAGAAATAGGGAGAGGGAGAGAGAGAGAAAGAGGGAGAGGAAGGAAGGGAAAGACATATACTACTTCAAGCATTAGCATTTTTCCATATTTCCACTCATTTCTTTTAGTCGATCATCAATGGCTTCCCTCATTATAGTAATTCTCTTTGATCTTATTATTTATGCTTATTCTATTCTATTTCTATTATGTTCTATTCTATGCCATTCTACTCTATTCCATTCTATTCTATTCTGTTCCATTCTATTCTCTTTTTTCTTTTCTTGTTCTATTCGTATTTCGTATTCAACATTAAACTTGTG